TCTGAAATTTTTATTTTATTTTTTCCTGTGGCTAGGCTGAAGTTACGGGTTTCAGGGAAGAAGACCAAATAAACTAAGTCCCATTCTCAGCCCATCATGCCAAGAGCCCACACCATCAGCATAGTTAGTCACTGTTGACGTTGACTTTGATCCCCTGGCAGTGTTCGCCAAGTTTCTCCATTGCAGAGTTACTCTGCCCCTTTCTCTTTCCACACTGATCAGTTGGGAGAGAGGTTCCTGTGTGCCGCCTGTGCTCCAGAAACCAGAGAGTGGTGCTCCCTCTCCTTGGGAAGATAATGTCCACTTAAATGATTTAATTTTTTTGCCTCTTCTTTCCCGATTATTGATTTATTCTACCACATATTTATATCAGTATGAACTAAACTTATTATCCATCCTTTGAATTTTTAACTCTTTAAGAATGAGTGCTTTCCCAACTATACATTCAGATTATTTTTCATGACATCTTCACTTAATTATTTGGAAACTGTTTCTAGAAATACAGTTGTGAGGCAGAAGATACGAACATTTTAATGCTTTTTGTATGTACGGCCACGTTGTTTTCTAGGTATGTTACTCAGCTTTTGTTTCTATCTGAAGATTGTGGCAACACTTGTCTCAACATATCTTTATAAACATTAAACACTAAATTTGTTGAAAGCTTTGTCAATTTGATAGGAAAAAAAGTTAGATCCTTAGCAGCATCGAGTAGAAATTTGTAAATACTTGCTGTTAGAAAAATAAGTATTGATATAATTTAATTTTTTTTTTACCTCCAGTGAGGGTCCACAATTTTGTAGTTTTCAATGAGGGAAGAGCACAATTGAAGTGGTCTTCTGACTTTGGTCTCACTACTGATATCTGGCTTAGGTATGGCAGAGATGTGTGTGTGTGTGTGTGTGTGTGTGTGTGTGTGTGTGTGTATGCTAGAAATGTAGGGCTTTCCAATGTAATAATCTATTTGTGTTACTGTAATAAGGCTAAGTATTTTATTTTCTAAAGAAAAGTTATTTAGCTCACAGTTCTGAAGGTCATGAATATGATGCTGAGTCTGTCGAGGGCCCCTTCACTGTGTCATAACATAGTGGAGAAACATAAAGGAACCAACCACACACAGACAAGATCAAGCATGTGGATGACTTTAGGACAATAGGCTCTCATAAGAATTCACTCCTCAAAACCAAAGTCAATGCCCCCATGTCCTAATTACTTGCACTAGGTTCTACTTAGTGAATAGGTTATTTTGTTTTATGACTTCATCCTGTAAAACAACGATGTTCTTTTCCTTTTGCTATAGAAACCTTTAAGAACACGGAACTACTAATGGGGCATTGTTTCTGTAACTGGGGTGACTGGGCTAACTGTAATTGATTAGGCTTCCCTCCGCTTGATTGCACTCTCCCGCTTCTGTAACCTGGCTTGCTTGCATTGGCTAGATCCCCTGAACATCCCTTTTGCGGTTTTCAGGCTTATAAGGAGTGCCCTTGCAATTGTTCGGGGCTGATCAGGGGAACGGCTTTATGTTCTAGTCAGCCGCCACCGGTGTGCTTCAATAAAGACTTGATTCGATGATACGTGAGTGGTCTGGAAGTCAGTTTATGAAACCCTGGGACAAAGCTTTAACTATAACAGTTCCACCATTTCAACACTCCAACTTATAGTCCATGAAACACTCAAGCCATGTCATAGCACCCAGATATGAAAGAATACGAAGAAAAAGTATGTGAGATATCAAGAGATGCAAATAGGTATTTTCTGCCATGATGCTCAGAAATGGTAGTTTCAATCCTTCCATGATCACTTTCCCTAACATGTGACTTGGACAGTCTAGACTACCACTGGATGGGAATGCTTCAGAGGGAGTGGCCTTTTTGATTTGCCTGATGGCCTGAATTGGAAGCCACACCTGTATGTCTAGACAGTAGGCTAAGCAATCTCTACATAAAGGCAAATATTGCAAACATTGTATATTCTCACCCTGGATGAGCTTTTCATTTAATTGCAGAAGGAGATACATGAAAATTCAGTACATAATGTGCTTTAGTGATGGTAAGTCAGAAAGTGGGTAACTTTCTAGAATATGGGAATGGTTTCAGTGGGAAAATGATAATAGAGTTGGGTCTTAATTAGTTTATCAGTTGGAGAAAATGGAGGAGAGGATTTGAGTCTGAGATGTAGGGAAGCAATGGGTAATTTGGAATGAGAGCAATGAGGATTTATTCAGTTAGGCACATGACTGAGTTCTAACCACCCGAGAAGTAGAAGTGAGGTGTTCCTTTTCCAATCATATCACACTAAAACAAACAAAGAAAGAAAAGAAAAGAAAAGAAAAACATGCATGCTCTTTTATGCTTTGTTGCTCTTCCAGATGGTTGGAATGGAGACACCTCCTGATAGATAGGGAAGTTGGTGGAGTCCCTTCGACTTTTAATGATTTCATGACAGAGGACTGTCCCATCAAGTATTTCACCTCCAATGCTTATAAGTAAGCAAGAAATAGCTTCTATTGTCTTTGATTCATTGCATATTAAATATGCTAGCTTTGCTGTATATTTACTAAAGATAAGTAAACTAAGTTATTGCTACTAGTAAACCATAGCTAGGTAGGGAAAAGTATTGAAAACCTTTGAATGCTACACCAGGAATTTCATCTTACTACTTCTACAGTAGGGGGTCTGTGTGACAGTGTTAAGTAAAGGAGTAACAAGAGGAGTGCAGGTAGGGAATGGATAGGAGACACCTTCCAGAACAACATCTTGTACTCTGAGCTCTTTGCTCATCTTGATTTCCTCTGTAAGCTTCCAATGGACCTCATCCGTATCTGGAAGGATTTGATAAAAGTTCTACTAACCTTTTTTTTTGAGAATGGTACCAGGGATTAAACCGAGGGTTGCTTAACCACTGAGCCACATCCCCAACCCTTTTTATGTTTCCTCTTGAGACAAGGTCTTACTAAGTTGCTTACGGCTTGCTAAGTTGCCGAGGCTGACTTTGAACATGTGATCCTCCTGTCTCAACCTCCTGAGCCACTGAGATTACAGGTGTGTACCACCATATCTGGCTCTACTGGCATCTACGGAATTTGCAAAACCCTTAGAAATAAATCAGAAGACACTAGAGGAAATGCATTCAATGACCACAAATCCCTTCTCTGCCCCTATACAATGTGACTTTCCTGCTCAAAAATGTGACTTTTCTATCAAGAAATGGAGGGTGTTTTTCCTCACTTGAAACAGGGTCTTGCTTTGAATAATGGGACATTAGCAAACACAACAAAAGTAGAACCTCAAAATGAACTTCTACACTCTTGCTGCCCACGTCCTGTGTGTCATGAAGTTGAGAATGGCTGTCTAAACAATGAAACGATAACTGAAGAGAGACAGCCACCACCAGCTGCCGGACATAGGAGGCCATCTTGGATCATTCATCAGGCAATTCCTTACAGGACCTTGACCTGGTAGTGAACCCAGGTGAAATCAACAGAAGATCTACTCAGTGGAGTCCAGCCAAGTTGCTCACTAAAGTATTGGTGTATTTTGTTAACACAGCAATAGATAACCAAAGAGAGCTCACTGTTAGAAGACCACAGATCATGCCAATGCCAAAAATCAGCAAGTGAATCAGAACAAAGCCTTATCCACTCACAATTCCTAACGATGCAACAGAGATGAGATAGATCTTTGCCACAGCAAGCAGATGTTCCAAGATATGAAATTAAAAGTTCTAATACATAAAAAAGATTCAATAGAGCAGCACTGGTGTTCTGTTTTAACATCTGTGGACTTAGTTTTAAAACACAATGAAGAACAAAAATTATTAGTCACTCTTGTTTTTTGTTTCTGGTATTTCTGATACTTCTTGTCCTATTTTTTTTTCTTCTCCTGTTCTATTTTTTTCTTCTCCTTCTATTTTGTCCCCTCTTTTATTTTTAGTTTCTCTCATAAACTTCTACTTTTTTTGATATTTTAACTCAGCACGAATTGCTTGTACCGGGGTAATACCAGGATGTTGAAATTTCCTCTGCTCTGTGGACACTCTTGTAGTTCTTCCAAATGTAACTCTATTATTTCCTCTTTTTGATTTCTTAAAGATATCCCTTAATTAGGAAAGGATAAACCTTCTTTATATTTCTTACTATTTTCCTTAATTAAGTATATGATCATTGTCTCAAATTATAAATACCATTTATATATTCTATCAAACTCTTCCATATGACAGAAGTGGTAAAATGAAAAAAAAAATAAGAATCACATGATGGAAAATCTCATTAACTATAAACAGGAACTTGTTAACTATAAATAGAAACTTGTTAACTATAAAATTGATCATTCAATTACCAATTGTCCTTTAAATTATGTCACTAAAATATGTCCCTCGCTGAAGTTTTTTTTATTTGAAAAACCTTATATATTTTATTTTATTTTGGTACTGGGGATTGAACCCAGGGCCTCGTGAATGCTCAACATGCATTCTACACTGACCTACACCTAGGGTCCCTGAAAAATCTAATTTAGGCAAACTCTTACATCATGTGGTTCTTTGACATTCATGAATGTAGTCACTAAATATTCATCAACAGTTTTCAATATATTTAGCTCTGTGCTAGGCCAGGAAGATATAAAGAGATTTTGCCTAAAAACAGCAACGTATAAAAATAATGTTAGTTAAATATCCTAAGTATAATAGACATGTGGCACTGTGGGAATTGAGGGCCCCTTGAATGTGTTTGCGGTACCTGTGAACAAGGAAAGCCTCTCTGGTATCACTTCTCAGTAGAGTGCTAAGAAGCCTCTGGCCTGGGGCAAACATAGCCCCCTGGCCAGTGGTCAAGGAGTCTGGGGTACCATACTGAGCCGATGCACAGTGAGCCATTGGAAGCTTGCAAGCAAAGGAGTAATGCTGTCAGATGTGCTGGTGGATTTGAAGGGGCAAGAAGACTGACTTACAAGACTGATAGAGAATAAGAAACTGAACTAGGATGGGGTCAGCAGGAAAAAGAAAATAAATAAACGAGGAAGCATTTAGAAGGCTAAGCTGGCAGATATACACATATTTTTCTCTGTGTAAGATTAAAATCAAGATCCCATTAAGGGTGATTTACTGTTGGAGAAAACCCAGGTGTTAACACACGTTCTTTACTGTAATAGTGTAGTGGTGTGTGAGTAGTTTCAATGATGTGCCACCTTCCTTAAGGCCCTAAGTGCTAAGCATTAGACTAGGCATAAAGAATGTGCAAAAGACAACGTCCTCAAGCTGTCTGATGTCTGGAGTTGTAAGGTCTAACTTTATTATAGGTTGTATGTGTTACTGACATAGCCATCTATATCATGGACTAATTCCCCCCAGTCTAAATTTTATTAAGACCTCAAGACTTAGATTCAGACTAACAGCCATAGATGCAATTGCAAACCATTCAGCCACATTTTATGGAACACGTTTTATGGGCACTTAACATGATCATGTTAGGTACTAGAGGGAACAAATATTTGACTTAGCACCCTTTTAATGTAAGAGAGAGAGAAAAGAAATCTAGCCTTCAAATTTATAATTAATTAGTAAGGAAAATAAAGGAGAAGGAGTTAAGAGTGACTTCCAGGGATCTAGCTAGTTGATTAAATGTATCTCAGATCCCTGATATAGGAGGATATGAAGAGAAGCAGGTGACAGTTAACAATGGAAGAGCCCTTTACCTCGCCTGGTATAATCCTCTTCGCTCTGTGGTATTACGCTTACAGCACTGGCCTGGTGTGTGCGGAGATGATTGGCTAAATTTATCTGACTGGAATTTGTCTTCTTGGCCTCATCCCCTTGATTCATTGCACCAAGCAATACTCTTGGCTAGAGAATGGGGAAGAGAACCAAGTCGGCTAGAGAAGGCTGAAATGTGACATCATACCTTGCAGATTTGTTGATTAGAGCAAGTGATAGATACATTCTTCTGAGTAAATTTCCTGGACACTCTTATCAGAGTGGGGAGGACAAAGTCTGACTTTATATAGTGGCTGAAGAGGTATCCGTCCCTGTTTGTGAGGGTGAGCGTTGTCCTTGGACAGTGGTCACTGGCACAGTGGACTTTGTAAGTTGGCTTAAAGATTTTATCTTCACAGTTTCCTGTGTCTTGTAAGGTAGAGAATTCTTCATGTAAAAACTAGTCAGGAAAGAGGTGTGTGTGTGTGTGTGTGTGTGTGTGTGTGTGTGTGTGTGTGTGTTTAAGGAGCTGCCTTAATTAAATAAAGGGCAGGAAGTTCCTTCCTGAATAGTTAAAATC